TTTTTTTTTGGTACGGCAATATTCGATCTGTTAAGGGAATCATGATTCATAATGGATCTGCAAATATCGTCTACCAGTGCAAATTTAATGTTCGAGCGATATAAATTTCTTAAGATCCAGCAGGGCGGGATTATTATTTTTTTTATATTTAGGGAATTTTTTTTAATATTTGCGGGGCAGGGGAGGGGGGGGGGAGGCTAATAGTTTCATTTTTTTCATTTCAAAAAAAATTTCACGCAGTGGACTTATGTTAAAATTTGAATCCGTCCCTTTTCTTCCGCCCTTTTCCTTGTATTTTCATAGTCATACTCCCTGAGAGCCCTCTAAAGTATCCCGATTGGTAACATTTGTCAATAGCTGATGACCACTGGCAAGGCTTCCGATAAGTTCGTCTTTCGAAGGTTGCTTAGAAGCAAGCTGATGGCAGCTTTAACTTCCTGAAGCTGCAGCTGGGCCACAAGCTAAGCCTTACTCCCATGAGCCGCTCACTGTTTTCAGTTGTTAAGGTGCCGATTTCCATTATTTAAGAAAAAGTATTTTATCGGTGTTTGTCCGAGTGGCCATTTTTTGTCCTGTAATTGTTACTCATTGTTGTTTCTTTTACATATCTCCTGCTAAATGCCAAGTAATCAAAAATAGAGGTTCTTTATTGAATGCAAATTTATCTGACAAGGTTATGGATGAATGTCGTAAAGAGCGATTTACAGAATTTTTGACCCGTGAAAAAGATAAGGGAAAATTCGTCGATCGAAGGGAAATATTTTTGCAGATATTTCGAGCACGTGATATTACCTTGCTTTATGCCCAGCTGAAATTTTTCTTCAAGCAAGTCCATTGCGTAAAGCCGCGAAGTAGCCGACAAAGTAGCTGTGGTAAGAATTTTTTCGATTACGATTATTTATTTTATCTATGTTCAGCATCCACACGTTGCCCAGAGCCATGGCTGATAGTTTTTATATTTGTTCGATTTGGTATTTCACATAAAAGTAATTCTTCATTTTTCCTAAAGTTAGTTATTTCGGATGTATTTTGTTAAAAAATACCCATGGACTTCTATTACTAGCTCGCAAATCTTCGCAGTAACTCAGTGGAAAAATAATTGAGCATTTCTTTTTGTAAATTTTTTTTTTCCAATCTTTACACTTTATTTACTGTTGATATCGTTGGGAAAAATTTTTTTGCAATTTCTCCAAAATTTTTTATGAGTTTCAAAATTTGCCATAAAATGACTGTCGTTTTCATGATTTGACTTCATCATTTCGTTTCGGAATTTTTCACTTTATCTAAATTCTTCCTGAAATTTAGCTGTTCTTGGGAATTTATTGAAAATAGGAAATTTTTTAAAGTTATGAGCGTGTATGTGTTTGTGCGTGTGTATGTATGTGTGTGTGCATGTGTGTATGCGTGTGTGTGTGTACGTGTCTGTCGGCATCTTCAAGTGCGCGACTGTGTTTTCGCATTTTCTTGCTTTGTTTCTATGCAGGTAAGCCTCACTTCACCACTGTTTTTTTCTGTCCTGATGCTGCGCTTTAGGGAACAACATGGCTTTTATCACAGTAACTAAATGTATTATTTTTATGAAGTGCATACCCTGTTTAGGGAATTTTTTTTGAGCATGAAGCTATAGTTATTTATGAGGTTACCTTCAAATTTTTTTTGTGTGTATTCCTTCCAGAAGCCTTCGTTGTTTGCAAGGAATTCTGTTTGCCGGAAGGATATACGCCAACAATGAAAAATCCAATGTTAGCTCCGGACTATGGTAGGTCAAATTCTCAAAATACGACTAGTTTTCCTACGTTTTTGTGTAGATATGCAGCTTCTAGCCTTTTTTTTCAACCTCCAGTTGGAGGCCATCGAGAGCTTTTTTTAAGCGTTTTGTTGCTTTTGACAAAATTTTGTCATTCGATTCACTTTCAGCAGCATTTGTTCATCCAAGACAGAATGAACAGCGAAAGAGATTTTGAGGCTTCAACGCAAACTCACTGCTGTTGGGGTTGGAGTAGACTTCCCCACTACCATACGCTAAATTCCATCCTTTCCGCCTTAAATCACAGGGTATTCAGCCATGCTGGATTTCCTTCGATTAGCATGCTTCACAGGGTAAGCTTCGACCTACTTACGGCCGCAAAATACCACTTCACAGCTCCAACCTTCTCGTCAACCTTACTCGACATGACCAGTTTTGGCCGGGCTTCTATCTTCCTTCCTCTGCTATGTAGTTTCTTCCTTAACCTTACGTACACCGCATATTTCTACCTGGTGATAATCACATTACCATTGCCTGGTTGTGTTTTTGAGAGGGAGAAAAATTTCAGATGCTGAAGTGAACAGTCTTACGGGACCCAATCGTATTCTTGTCCCATTCCTTGCATGTGGCGATCTATCCGGCTGGGATTCCGATCGAACGTACGGGCTCGAACTACCCGAACTGCTCGATGATGGAGAACGAGAACGCTATACATACAAGCCTGTGGTGCAACCCCCTACGCAACCAGCATATAAAGTAAATATTACCTGTTTTCCATTTTTAAAAAATTTTATTTAAAATTTCGGAAAATTTAAAAATTTTGTTTAAAATCAAATTTTGTCGGTATTTTTTAACATCAGTCAAATCACCAGTGTTCTTTTTACTCTTTTTTGGTCTCTCTTCCTTGTTTCAGAAAGCTTGTGAATTAAAAAAAGCGGGTAAACTCGCAAAACCAGAAGTAAAAGACCCGTTTATGGAGTGCGATGTTCCATCGAAAAAAGAAACGAGCAAAAAAGAATCGGAAAATGCTGGCAATTTGGGAATCGCCGATGAGCTAGCCGAAGCTTTTGCTGAATGCTTCGCCTTCATTGAAGACAGCTGAAATTGGCAGTACTGGAATTCAGAAAACCTCCGCCTCATTCCGGCCGAAATCTCAGGGACATTTTTGTGGTAATTTTGTTATTAGTGTAGCATTTGCTGACATTATAATGTATTTTACAAGATTTTAAAACTTTTATTAATTTTTTAATATTATTTGCTTCGTCTTCTTCCAACTTTAATATTTTTCTGTTGTACAGTGATGCGTGAAGTTCTGATCTGTTTTGAGCGGTGATTAAACCAAATAATTTATCTTTATAGCAGATTGTTTCATCCCATTCCTCCTGGCATGACAGGAGATTAAACGCTCTAAATTGCCACCAGTGGACTTGTTTGCAACTAAGGGATGAAACAAGGACTGCTTGTCTTGTACATGATACTTTGGTTGTTTTTTGTTTCCTACTGTGTTATTTTATTGTTATTCGCAGAGTGTGGATTTTTTGAGCCATTTCTGAATGCACCTGATACTTATAGAAAGTAAAATACGGAAGAAGCATTGGCCTTTACATTTAGTTCTTGTTACAGATTTGACTGAATAGAGCCCGAAATATCATAGTATGTGTTTTCATTTTGGTAGGATTTTCTGTCAGTACCGATCGTTGATGATATTTGATCAGCTTCTGAGCTTGACATCCCCAAATGTACTTAGCGTTTTTGAGAACTGGAGAGAAAAAATTCTAGCCGAAGATAAGCAATTATGTTTTTTGCGGAACGAGGATGCTTTATGGAGCAAGGAAATCGAGAACAGCTTCAGTGTGCTATTTCTTGAATTGGCTCGTTTATTTGTTACCTCTTTTTACAATGGGTTAAGTGTTCGTTTTTTTTAACTCTTAATCCCTTTGTGAATAGGCTGAATGTGGTACCCATTTTTGGGTCTAGTAACGTTTGTTCAAATACGTCTAGTCATGACTGAGTTAGAATTAAGGTACTTTTTTTTTTATGAAAATGAACTATGGTACTTTTTTTAATGAAAACATGTTACTGTGAAGCCTGTTACGAATGATTATAATGAATAATGTAAAAGATTATTATGATTATGGAGAAGTAAAACGAAGTTGAAAAGGTATCTCATCGTTCAGGACAAGGTAGCGACCAGCACACATGTAGAAATCTTATAAAACCCTGTGATTTGCTTCCGCTGAGGACCGCTGTCTTGATAATTCTGTCAAGGGACGAAATATACGTAAAAATAGGTGCCATCCTCTGCAATGTTGTGCATGAGTTCGACATGCGTTTTGCTGGCTTTGGCCAAGTGAAAAGTGTCTCAATGGGCGGTAATGCCAGTTCCGAAATTGCCGACCTTACTTTTTACTTGAATTTAAATACAGTATACTTCCTACTGGTCCCCCTCTTCTTCGTTGTTATGTTGATGATCGTTTAGTCCTCAGCTGCCCTGATTTTCTTCCTCTTCGTCTAAGCATGTATAGCCAGGACTTAGACATGGGTTGTACAGGTTCAGGTACTGCCGTCAACTACTTAGACTTGACCCTTTCCATAGACAGCAGTGCTCGCATAGCTTCCTCACTTTACTGCAAGATCGATCTTTTTACCTTCCCTACCATTAAATATTCCCCTCTTCGCAGTAACTTACACCCCTCTATCCACAACGGTATTATCTATAATCAGCTCAACACATAGTTATCAAATCCACTTTTCAAGGATTTGTCGCTTTCGTTCGTCGTCTCCTCTTCCACTATTCAAAATTTAAGGTTATCAGAAGTTAATCCTTACATGAGGTTGCCAAAATGTAGTATAAAAAGATACAGGTCGTAACATTTGTGTCGATGCCGTAAAATGACGATCTGGCAGTTGTAATTGCTTCCTACGCCAGTGTAGTCCTTTTCACTACATTTTTGATTTTTCCCTGCTTTCCCTTAATCATGTGAGAACGAAAAACAATCGATCAAAGCACAGAGTCAAAATTCCTCTTTATTTACTCTCTATAAGAGGTAAGGGCACTCAAAAATGGTCCAAGTGGTTGCAGGCACAGTACTACCAATTTGCTAGCAGAGACGTCGATGCATTACTTTCCCGAAATCCATAAGCAAACTGACAGCAGGTTTGACTCCCTGGTGTATGTCAGTACCAGTTTACCATCGAAACAAATGAACGAATCATTGAAGCAAATGAACGAATAACTGAAGGAATGGTTGGCCTACTAATGAGTTAAACCCTCGAGCTGCTGCACGACTGCTGCTGCTCGCTACCGGGCACACACAAACAAACAAACACACACACGAACAACTCAACAACATGCATTTTTTGCAGCTATGCAGTGCAGAAAACGCATATTGGCGAGGGGTTGTCTGTGTGTGCGTGTCTGTGTGTCCGTCTGTACCGATTTTTCATCTCGAGACCGGCAAAAGTCACAGGGTTGAAACTTTGGGGACACAATCTACATACACGTACAGGCCCCCATCCCCGAAATGGGTGGTCTTACCCGCGTGGTACTCGCGTAAGAGCCCGCCAAAATTTTTCTCCGGTAAGTTGATAACTCGCGAGCCAGAAAAGCTAGAAGGCTGAAATTTTAAGGGGATGTCCTTCGTCAAAGTAGGTATTAATGGGCTAAAACCCAGCCTCCGGGTAAGTGTGGTACCCGCGTACGGGCCCGCAAGAATTTTTTCCGGATAAGTTCATAACTCGGGGATCTGAGATGCCAGAAAGCTGAAATTTTAAGAGGATGTTCCCCGTCCACATTAGTCCCAACCAGTTCAAACACAGCCCTCGGTCATGCCTGGTACCTACGCACGGGTTCACCAAAGTTTTCTTCGGGCAAGTTCATAACTCAAGAACCTGAAAAGCTAAAAGACTGTAGTTTTAACAAAATGTTCCCCGTCCAAGTAAGTCTCAACGAGCTCAAACCCAGACATCGGGTATGCGTTGTACCTGCGTACGGGCCCGTGAACTTTTTTTCCGGTAAGTTGCTAACTCAGGAGCCAGAAAACTGGAAAGGTGAAATTTTAAGGGGTGTTTCCTGCCAGTTTTGGCGGCCAGTCTTAATTCGTTTAGCAAGAAACATTTGCCGAATGAACCGATGCCGGTAGCGACAAAAACTGCGGAAAACTATGCAAAAAACGCATCTTCACACGGGTGGCCCGTGCGTTGCCCAATTATTGCTCACTGTAGCAGCACTATAGCGCTGCACAGCAAAAATGCATAACAGAGTCGTTGGCATAAATCGGATTTGCTTCTAGCATGTCGAGGTTGACAAATGTTGTCGTTTTTCTTCCTTGTTTCTTTCGGTAATCTTCTAATTTGTGCCGCATGTTTATGGAAGTAGAGGATTCTTGGGATTGCTCGTTGTATACTTTCCCCCCGTTATTTTCCCCTTTCGCCCCCTCCGCTCTTTACAACGCTTTCTTTAGTGGATGCAATATAACGGAGTGTCTTTTGCTCACATCTGCAAGCAATATGTTATCGCAGTGAAGCGTAAACTAACGATGTGTCTCAGTCCAGTCCCACCGCTGTATATCATACATCTCAAATTCCCTCATTCTCGAGTCTCTCCTCCGTTTATCGGTTTAAGCAACCATCATACATCCTTCAGTTACAGTAAGACACAGATGGCCACACCCACCATCGATTTCTGCCTTTTCACTTGCTCAGGAATCGATCAAAAATTTGTAATAATGATTGTGGCAATTTCCTCACCTCTTGTCGACCTTTTATACACTCGGTTACGACAAATGAGTCAACTGACACCACAGCACAAAAGGAAATCTAATCCGGCATATAATACTACTCGTGCCTGTGATGTATTACGAGCCAATTTCTAGTTTATGCAAAAGGGTATATTGGATCCAATCATACAGATACGGATATACTTTCAAGCACAAAGAACAGGACGGAATACTGGAGAATCTTAGACGGGGAGAAGGGAAGGCCCCCCCC